TCCTGGCTTTGGATCGGCCCAGCTCTGGCCATTTGGGGAGTGAATCAGCAGATGGAAGACCAATCAATCAATCTCTCTCTCTCTCTCTCTCTCTCTCTCTCTGGCTCTCTCTGGCTCTCTCTCTGCCTCTCTGAAACTCTAATTTCAAATAAATAAATCTTAAAAAAAAAAAAGTCTCTAGTTCAGAGTAGGCCCTCATCACATAATCCACAGCTACTACTTACAGGGGTCCAATCACTTAATGTGTCAGTCCACACAGGGAGCTGAGGTCCTGGAAGAACATGAAGCTGAAACCAGAGTTCACCATCTGCACATGATTACTGACATAGCCTCTTCATACAGTCTCACAAATTAACAAAAACACCTGAGACTATACTCAAACGCAAACTGACAACGTGTCGAAAAATTAAATAAAACATCTACACAGAGACCACTAACTTTCTGAACCTTAAGGTCTGCCAAGAAGCTGGCAAAGGGGCCAGTGCTATGGTGCAGTGGGTTAAGCCTCCGCTTGCAATGCCAGAATCCCACATCCTCCAGAGCACCAGTTCAAGTCCTGGCTGCTCCGCTTCAGATTCAGCTCCCTGCTCATGTGTCTGGGAAGGTGGGGGATGATGGCTTAAGTACCTGGGCTCCTGCCACTCATGTGGGAGACCTGGATGGAGTTCCTGGCTCCTGGCTTTAGCCTGGCCCAATCCTGCCTTTTGAGGCCATTTAGGGAGTGAACCCATGGATGCAAGATCCTTCTGTCTCTCCTCCTTTCTCTGATACTCTGCCTTTCAAATAAATAATTTTTTAAAAAGCTGGCAAAAAAAAAAGTCACAAGCACAACAAAATTCTCAACAAACTCTTGCACTTTTTTCATTGACAATTCCAAGATACACTGGGCTTCAACACAATTATTTAAAATTTAAGAATTTTTTCCCTTTTAGAGCTGAGAGTGTGCTTTAAGAGGCTAACACAGAAGGGGAAAGAAAAGCTCCATAAAACCTAGAGAAGAGACTGCCTGGAGTCACAGCTGAAAAAATAATTAAGAAGTTCACTTAAATATACATTGACTACAAGATCTCACTGCCAGTACTGTAAAGCAGCCCTAGCCTTACCTTTATCAATTGCTCTAACTTTGCCAAAAGAATCCCACTAAGCAATAAACCTCTGAATAGCCCTAAAGTTGCCATTTTTGTTGCTGTGTCTTGCTCATAAAAACACAATGTAAATATTTATGAAACTGGTATTTTTAGCTTTTCCTGTTAAACTCCATCATGGGCATTTCATTGTGAATGAGCCCTTCTGTATGGATCACCCTTTCAGCCCTTCGCTATCTGCTACCCACGCAGGGAACCTTTACCGGAGAATCCCTTCTCTGTTCTGGGCCTCAGTTTCTCTTCGTATGATGAGGGACACAGATTAAAACAATGGTTCACAGCATGCCTTGTCTTAGAGGCGACAACATTTTGAGAATCTGTTAAAAGCTATGGGTGATTGCTACATAAAAATGCTTATAAACACTTACATAACAATTTTATACAAAATTATGTATAAAGCAAAAGACAGGAATTGACCTAAATGTTCACCAATAGATGGTTAAGTAAATTATATCCACATAATGACAGTCCATATAACTGTTAAGAAGAATGGAGAACTGATATGGACTGAAAAGAAAAGATTTCCATCATGTGCTGTTAAATTGAAAAGGAAAGATGGGGCTGGCGCTGTGGCACACTGGGTAAAGCCGCTGCTTGCAGCACTGGCATCTCATATGGTGCTGGTTTGAGTCCCGGCTGCTCCAGTTCCGATCCAGCTCTCTGCTATGGCCTGAGAAAGCAGTAAAGATGTCCCAAGTCCTTGAGCCCCTGCACCCATGTGGGAGACCTGCAAGAAGCTCCTGGCTCTGAATTGGCACAGCACCAGCCATTGCGGCCATTTGGGGAGTGAACCAGCAGATGGAAAACCTCTCTCTGCCTCTGCCTCTCTATAATTCTGCCTTTCAAATAAATAAATACATATTTAACAAACAAGGGAGAAAAAGAAAGTCATTGAAAAACAGTATGTGACTTTTTTACAAAAAAGACAAAAAATAAGTACACCTGAATTTGCATATAGATGCATAAACTATGAAAGAATAAATAACAATCTTTGGTGGGAATGAGAAAAAAGAGGTAAGAAAGCACTTTTTCACTATATACTTTCTAATAAACAGGCATTTTAAAAAGTTCATGGAAAGTCAGCCAGCACTGCGGCTCAATAGGCTAATCCTCCACCTTGTGGCGCTGGCACACCGGGTTCTAGTCCCAGTCAGGGCGCTGGATTCTGTCCCGGTTGCTCCTCTTCCAGGCCACCTCTCTGCTGTGGCCCAGGAGTGCAGTGGAGGATGGCCCAGGTCCTTGGGCCCTGCACCCCATGGGAGACCAGGAGAAGCACGTGGCTCCTGGCTTCAGGTCAGTGCGGTGCGCCAGCCACAGTGGCCATTGGGGGGTGAACCAACGGAAAAAGGAAGACCTTTCTCTCTCTCTCTCTCTGTCCACTCTGCCTGTCAAAAAATAAATAAATAAATAAATAGTTCATGGAAAGTAGAATTAAAAGCTTAGGAATGGGCATTTGGTGCACCAGTTAATATGCCCACATCCCAAAGTGGAGTACCTAGGTTTGAATCCTGGCTCTGCTTCTACGCCCAGCTTCCTGCTACTGCACACCCTGGCAGGCAGCAGGCGGTGGCTCAGGCACCAGCCATAGGTCAGACCTGGATGGAGTTCCCAGCTCCCAGTTTAGGGCTGGCACAGCCCAGCTGTTGTAGGCATTTGCAGGGTGAACCAACAGATGGGTTTTTCCTTGTCAATCAAATAAATAATTTAAAAAAATTTTTAGGGGATAGCATCATGGTTTATCAGGTAAAGCCACTGCCTCTGATGCCAGAATCCCATATGGGCAGCGGTTCATGTCCGGGCTGCTTCACTTTTGATCCAGCTCCCTGCTAATGGCCTGGGAAAAGCAGCAGAAGGTGGTATAAGTACTTGCACCCCTGCCACCCAAGTGGGAGACCTGGATGGAGTTCCAGGCTCCTGGCTTTGGTCTGGCCCAGCCCTGGCCACTGCAGCCATCTGGGAGGTGTACAGCGAGTGGAAGCTCTCTCTCTCTCTCTCTCCTCTTTCTCTGTCTCTCCCTCTCTTTAAATAAAATAAACCTCTAAAAAATATTAATGAAAAAAAGTTTATTTTAGTGCAGAGATGTTTAATTCCAAGCAGGTTTTTCTCAATATACATTTTTCATGAACTTCTTGAAGTACTCTATTTGAATCATGTAAATGCATTACATATTAAAATTGTGTACATAAGATATTGTATATAACTTCAAGAAGTTCAGTCTACTGAAGCTAAAAGATAATTTACAAACCCTGCTCAGTAATAATTTTTCTATTCTTCTAAAATGCTTTGGCTGCATAAGCATGTAACTGTATAAACTCAACAACCCAACAAGAACGTTTCCCACCACGGCCCTCATGTAAACACATGAAGTAGCTGAGGGTTACCAAGGGACTCAATAGCTCCTAATCTGGAATCTCATTTGAGATCATTTTCCCACATCACAGACACATTTTATGACAAAAAGCATCTCCAGAGAAAAAAAGTCTGCAGAAGTCATCAAGCCATACTCCCTCGCATGGCTCACTTTTCAAACCTGATTACTTCACAACGGCCTCCAAGCTTCGGAAACAACGTTTTCTGTCCTATTGGACTACAGTACCAGAGCAGAGAAACATTTTTCTATTTTGACCATCATCTCAGACTTTGAAGTAAGCGAATTAGCATACGCGACCGTCACACAGCATCCCGTTGGGGGAGGCCTTCCTTCACCCCTGATTCAGCAGGAGTCAGCACTGACGCTCGCAAGGAGCAGCAGGAGCATAGTAGGCAGCAGGGCTCCCCAGCCCCTAGGACAGTGGCAGCCGTCTCGGCTCGAATGCAAACACTGCATTCCGGAACCTGTAGTTCCAGACCGCACTTTCAGACATAAGCAACGCCTCCCTTTCCCCACTGAAAATAACACACGGCAGAACTCAGAAGCCCCAACACAAAAGGGACCCCCCCCCCCAAAAAAAAAAAAAAAAAAAACACACCTCGCCTGCCTTAATTTCTGTTTCTTGAAAATGTCCCAGGTAAGGTGTTTTTTTTTGTTTGTTTGTTTGTTTTTAAATCAGAGCTGGAGACGTTGCACTGACTGGGTAAGGCCCCCAAAGAAGCTTGTTCTAACAGTCTCGCCCTGTTTTAAACCGGGCGCTTTCCATCGCAAAGCTCAGCACGCAGCAGCGCTAAGAAAGGCACAAAAGTCCGAGGCAGGAGTCCCGGGACAGCCTTGCAGGGAATCTACACGGCCGGCCCAGGAGAGAGAAGCGGCCCCACCGGCAAAGTCCGCTTCCCAAACTTTCAGACGCCCCTCGGCTTCTCCTTTCGCGCACGACCGGGGCGTCTTATTCTTTGCCACGGGAAGAGCTGTCATTTCGCACTTTGTGCCGGGCTCTGTGCTGAGCAGGCGAGTTTTCCAGATTTCACACGGGAGCTCATTCTCCCATCCCTCTCTCCTCGCAAGTCTGAAAAGCTCCCTGCACACCCTCGAATCCAACCTGTCCCCGGGAGGGTCCACCCCCGGCCCTGACCCATCCAGGCCCGGGAGCCCCTCTCTCGCCACACAATAACGACCCCGAAGCCTGCGCCTCTCGGCTCCGCCGCGCCCCCTCCCGCCCCGCGCACTAATTCCGACCTGCCCCTAACTTGTTCCAAGAATTCCGCTTCCCACCAAACTTCCGACTCAACGTAAACAGCGGGGAACCCCGACTCGCCCTCTGAACCCAACAAGCCCGTACTTCACTCCGAAGTTCGAAATTCCCAAACACTGCTGCACACCACCTCCCGAGCGCTCCCCCCACGCCCGCCCCCTCCCAGGCCCGCGCCGGGGCGGGCTCGGCCCCCGCTCCGCACCCCACCGGGGAGGAGGGGACGCTCCACCTGGTTCCGCGGGCGCGGCGCGCGCCTCCAGCTCCGGCCTGGGCCTCGCGGCGGCCGCGCCCCCGTCCCGGCGCGGGCGGCAGCGCTCCGGCTGGCCGCGGCGGGCGCGCTCGCCCGGCACCTCCGCGTCGGCCTGGCCGTCGTCGCGGGCCCGACGGCGGGCCCAGCCAGGGCCGCGGGCGCGGCAGCGCGGACAACCCGGGCCCGCCGCGTCGGCGGCGCGTTGGGCGCAGCCTCGGCACAACGAGTGGCCGCACGGCAGGGCCGCCGCTTCCACCGGGGTCTCCAGGCACCCGGCACAGCCCGACTCTTCCCGCCGCGCCGCTGGTGGCGGTTGCAGCAGCGGCGGCGGCGGCAACACCAACAGCGCAGGGCCGGGAGCCGGGCCCGGGGCCCCAGTCTTCGCTGCCGACGTCTCGTCACAGCGGCCCCGCCGGCCTCGCCGACTCAGGGCTGCCGCGGCCGCCGCGGAAGAGGCCCGAGTACTCGGGCCCGCCGCCGCCATCTTGTTTCCCGTTTGAGGGCAGAATCCGTTGCGAGGGAGAAGAGTAGCGGGCGGGGCCGTGCGCGGCGGCCATCTCTATCTGCATAATCATGAGGGGGCGGGGCCCGAGGAGCGCAGAGCCTGTTTTTCTCGGACCTGGTTGGCGGGAAAGGATACCTCGTTAATATTCATTAGGTATTCTTTATATAGCCAGTCTTCAACCTGACCCTCCGGATTCTTCATGGGTTCCTCTTATTGAGCCTAGTGAGGCTATGAACTGAGGGGATTGACCGGGAAATTCTGAGCGACAGTAAACACTAATTATAAAGCGATTCCACTTGTTTATCCCGCAATACCCAGATAACTATGGCTGAAGGGAGCGGGGCACAGGGGCTTACCCATAAACCTGCCTTTGGTGTGCCGGTCAGTGCCTTCCTGAGCGTCCAGCATCGGCGTTCTCCCAGCCCCTCAGCTCCTTCTCAGACGTCTTCCTTGCGCCCTCCCTGGGTTTGGTGCTCTGAGGTCTGTGGTCTCCTCAGCTGAGGCCTTACTCCCCTTTGCTTCTCACTCGGCGCACTCCCCTGGCCCACCTCACACCTTCTTCCTCTGAAGAAAGTTCCAGCTGATACCTGCAGCCCAGGTCTCCTGGGTCCACGTCCCCAGAGGCAGCTGCCTGCAGTGGGAACATCTCTTGGATCTCTAAAAATCGCCGTTTTCCACCCTCCTTCTCTCCCGCCCTCCCAGGTGTGCAGGCTCTAAGCCTAGTCATAGGTCACTCCGTCATCTCCCACACCCCGTCCATTCTCCCGCTATCACGAGCATTTTCCCACCCGTTCCCTCCTCCTCATCTCACGCCCACTGCCCAGCCCAGGTGTCATCATCTCTCACCTTGATTATTGCAATCTCTTCTTGGATTACCCGCTCCCCCAGCCTCGCTGCCTCTCATCCATCTTCCCCCGCTCCAGAGCTGCTCCCTTAGAGGCCAGCTCTGACCAAGGCATCCCTGCTTGGGTTGGGGTGAGGGGATGGGGCTTTGATGCCTGCCCCCTTTCTGGATTCAGTACGGAGGAAAGAAGCGCTCCCCTGCAGTGGAGACATGGTTCTGCCACAGCCCATTCTCCCAGCTTCCGCTCCAAGGTAGATCTGGAACAAGACCGCACTAAATAAACGGTATTTCCTTATGGGTGTGTTTAAAAGAAAACACAACATCAACAGGGAAAAAAATGCACTAGAAGGCATCAGATGCCTAGGTTCCCATGTGCTCACAGCTAGTGATAAACCAATCTGAGGCAGAGTGGTGGCGAAAGAAAGAAGGAAAAAGAAGTGGATTCCCAAGATGAGAACCAGATGGCAAGGGGACAGTCAAGAGGAAGGGTCACCGAGTAACTGAAGCAAATGTTTGTGTGTGGAGAGGCCCAGCCCCCTGGCGTCCTGCCTAACACAGAGCCCGCCTTGGCTGGGGACCTCCTCGCTCCCCTCCCCAATTGAGGCTCCTGGGGACAACTTTTCCAGATCCTGACAAGGGAGACCTCTGGCTCAGAGATCAAGCCAAGCCCGGGTGAATCAAGCCGACCTCAGTGGGAGCTGTTCCCTTGGGACTGTTTGGGCCTGTGAAGCTGAAGGGCCTGTTTACAGTTGCAGGAGCTGAGCCAGGGGAGTGGGGCAGGCTTTCGTGGATACAGATAAAGACAGGACATTTCCTTTTGCAGAAGGAAAAAGCCGGAGTCTCAGCAACCCTGGTCCAGAGGATCCTTCACTGAGTCACTGTGGGATTTTTTTTTAAGATTTACTTATTTGAAAGGCAAAGTTACAAAGGGAGAGAGGGAGAGACAGAAAGAAATGGTCCATCTGCTGGTTCACTCCCCAGATGCCCACATCCACCAGAGCTTGGTGAGACCGGAGCCAGGAGCCAGGAGTTTCTTCCAGAGCTCCCACATGGGTGCAGGGGCCGAAGCACTTGGGCCATCTTCCACTGCTTTTGGGCTGAATCAGAAGCTGCTGGAACTCAGACCAATGCCCATTTGGGATGCCAGCACCCCAGGTGGCAGCTTTACCCACTATGCCATAACGCTGGCCCCTGTGGGATTTCAACCAACCAACTTCTCTCTGGGCCTCAACCGCCTCATCTCTAAAGCAAGGGTATTAGAATTCAGTTCTCACCCTGGGAGGTACCTCACACATGCACACACATAAACACGTGCACATACTTTCCAGCCCCCCAATCTGAACCCAAAAATCAAGGTGGGAATGCCAGGATGGTGAGAACCATCTGAGGACCTGTTGGGTCCTTCCCCATGGGAAAAGCAGGGAGAAGAGGGTGATTCTAAAGTTCCAGGCCTTGGAGCCTGGGACTGGGCTCACAGTGGCTAAGTGACAAGGACAGAACAGGTCAGAAGGCAGAGCGATCAGAAGGGAGAGGAGGAGCTGGGCCTGGTGGTCACTTGGTTTACTTTGCCCCCAGCATGGAGCCTCCCTTCTCTAGGGAATGCCCCACCCCCTGTAACACTAATGAGACCAGGGAGGCCGAAGCCAAGCAGGTTTCCCTCCCCGCCCCTAACAGGGCATGACCTATGATCTATGACCTAGGCCAGCACCCCCAGCTCTTGCCGTCTGACCATTGAATCTTCAGGGGGTGACACAATCCTCAGAGAGAGAGAGAGGATTCTGGAGTGACTCACAGCAACAGGGACAGTGGGTACGCAGAGCAGTGGCTCTCAGAGGTGGCCTAGGGCCCCTCCCATGGTGCTGGTGGCCATGCCAGTGTGTTCCTAAGGCAGGAGCCCAGTTGTGGTGGCTGCTGCCTGCCTTTTTTGGATTACCATCCACTTTCCGTCACCGACCTCCAATCTTCCGGTCAACCCTTTATATCCTTTCAGGAAATTCCCTTTTTTCTTAAATCCCACAACAGATTCCTTTGTTTGCATTGCAGCACTGGAGACATTGGTCTGTTGTTTTGGAACTGTCACTGAAAACGGTTGTCAGGGGTGCTTTGTAGATTACAAAGTGATCTGGTGTTGCCCCTCTTCTAAGCCAGCTCTCTGCTGTGGCCAGGGAGTGCAGTGGAGGATGGCCCAAGTGCTTGGGCCCTGCACCCCATGGGAGACCAGGATAAGTACCTGGCTCCTGCCATCGCCCGCGGCGACCATTGGAGGGTGAACCAATGGCAAAGGAAGACCTTTCTCTCTGTCTCTCTCTCTCACTGTCCACTCTGCCTGTAAAAAAAAAAAAAAAAAAAAAGGTCTGGTAAGCTTAGGCCACCAGCCTAGAATAGAGCATACAAGGGGAGTTCAAACAGTTCCCAGAATGCAGGCCAGCACAGTGACCCCAGCAGGGTAGGCACTGGCCTGCAATGGCTGCCTGCACCCCATACAAGACCCTGCTGATGCACCTGGGAGTGTAACAGAAGACGGCCAAGTACTTAGGCCCCTGCAACCCATGTGGGAGACCTGGAGGGACTTTTTGGCTCCTGGCTTCCACCTGGCCGAGCCCTGGCTACTGTGCACATTTAGGGAATAAATGAACAGATAGAAGATCTCTCTCCCTTTTTCTGATACTCTGCCTTTCAAACTTTCAAATAAATACATGAAAAGAAAAAGAAGTTTGTGAGGGGCTGGTGTTGTGGCACAGTGGGTTAATTGCCATCTGCGACTCTGGCATCCCATATGAGTGATGCTGGCTCAGGTCCTGGCTGCTCCACATCCGATCCAGCTCCCTGTTAATGTGCTTGGGAAAGCAGTGGGAGATGGCCTGAGTGCTTAGACCCCTGCCAGCCATGTGGGAGACTCCATTGGAGCTCCTTGTGCCTGGCCTTGGCCTGACCCAGCCCTGGCCATTATATCCATTTGAGGAGTGAATCAGTGAAGGGAGGATATCTCTCCTCTCTCTTTCAAATAAGTAAAAAATGTTAAAAAGATTTATCTATTCATTCAAAAGTCAGAGTTACAGAGAGAAAGAGAGAGAGAGAGATCTTCCATCTGTTGGTTCACTCCCCAAAGGGCCGCAATGGCCAGCGCTGGACCAGGCTGAAGCCTGGAGCCAGGAGCTTCATCTGCATTTCGTCACATGGGTGCAGGGACCAAAGCACTTGGCCATCTTCCACTGCTTTCCCAGGTGCATCAGCAAGGAGCTGGATTGGAAGCAGAGCAGCTTCCAAACCCACTATGCCATGGCGCCAGCCCCATAAAACATTTTTTGAAAAAATGGAATTAAAGGCTAAATTTATTTGGGGACAAAAAATGAAATCCATGCATATAAGGGGTCTTCAAAAGGTTTATGGAGGGGCCGGTGCTGTGGCATTGCAGGTAAAGCCACCGCCTGCAGTGCTAGCATCCCATATAGGCACCAGCTCAAGTCCCAGCTGCTCCTCTTCCAATCCAGCTCTCTGCTATGGCCTGAGAAAGTAGTAGAAGATGGCCCAAGTCCTTGGGCACCTGCACCCACATGGGAGTCCTGGACAAAGCTCCTGGCTCCTGACTTCAGATTGGCCCAGCTCTGGCCATTATGGCCAATTTGGGAGTGAACCAGTGGATGGAAGACCCCACCCCACCCCCACCCCCCGCCGCCGCCTGTCCTTCTCTCTCTGTGTAATTCCAACTTTCAAATAAATAAATAAATCTTTCCTTTAAAAAAAGGGTTTATGGAAATGCATGTTATGAAAAAACTGTGCATGGGTTTCTAACTTTTTGCACCATGACAACTCATCTTTGGATTCCATTTTCTGGGGACGTTCTGCAGCACCCTCACAGCACCTGCTGCCTTTTCCTCAGCCCCAACCAGTAGCACAGACCACCAAGGGAAGGGGGACTCCCGGCCCACTTTCCCACAGGATGCCCTTGGAAGGAACGGTGGCAGCACAGGCACGCGGAGCAAAGCTTCCTCTCCAGCTGCTGCCACTCGGCTCCGCGGGCCGCACAGCGGCCCTATCCTCTGCAGGTGTCCCGGGGCGCCTCGGTTCTGCATCGCTGGATACTCCCCTGGCTCCTCCGGACAGACTCCAGCCTGGTTGCAGGTGGGGACCCCTGCAGAGGACCCCAGGTGCGGGCAGAAGAGGAGGCAGTCCGCGGACTGGCCCCTCCTCCGCTTGGCTTCCCGTCCTCCT